TGAGAAAACAAGACTTTTCCACTGATGGGAGGGGCTTCCTACTCTGGAAAGTGCAGAACCACTATTTCTTACCTGCCCCGAGCAAAGGGCCTCGTCTGGGGAAGCAGCCCAAGGAACTTTCATCTGCTGATGAGTCCCAAGTCTCCTCTGTGTCAGGGTAATCTGAAGCAGGAAAGAGGCCTAAGGTTAACTGTAAATAAAAAGTACCTCGAAGTCTCTAGGAAAAGCCACTGACTACAAACCTGCACCAGCACATGGTACACAAAGGGCACAGAGGGCACACAGTAGGCAAACAGAGCAGTGACTGGAGCTCCAGTACTGATAATGACCATAGCAGCACTCAATGTAACCACAAAATCTGTCAGTGTCCACTCCCACAAGGACTTGAATTGCCACTGAGCTTGTTAAAGAGCCATAAACTGGTTAAAACAGCAAAGCCACTGCAAGTTTTGTCCAAGTGGAAACACTACCACGGACAGTGAGAAGACAATGTACAGAAAGACAGGAGCATAAGAAGGAAAGCCTGCTGGTCTGGGTGCATTTGTGCAGGCAGGGGTTTTAAAAAATACCCAATGGTGAAAACTCAGTTATGCAAATAACCTGTAAATGGTTGGTGCAGCAGCAGTCATTACCGGGAAAATGAGGACCATGCAGTAACAAAAGGTATAAAACAGTATGGAAACAAAGTGGCGTTTGACTACTAGCATGCTGGGTTACTAGACCATGCCCCTGAATGCCCCAGTGAAACCCTGGACTGTCTGATCAACAGGACATGGGAGCAAGACTTGCTGGCAAGTTGACTGGTGTATTTCTATGTAGGGGAGCATGCCAACTGCTGAATAAACCTACACAAGAGAAGAGAAAACTCCTGCCTCTGGACCATTCACTCTCTCAACAACCCACTGGTTCCCAATCCCAGATTTCAGAATAACACAAGGAAGATAACGGATCTTCCCACTGGGTGCTGCTGTCACACTGGAACTGCCTGGGGCCAGAGATCGAGACCCCGTCACCCCACAGACTTACACAGAGAGACCCCAGCCCCGCACTCTAGAGGCTGAACAGCCAGGCAGCGCCAGCATCTGGGCGCCGGAGTACCTCTGCCCAGGCTCCTGGCATGTTACCTGGCTCCTCATAGGGTGGGGGCTCCTCTTTGGGGACACAAGGCAGTTCCTCCTGGGGTCCCCATCCTGCCTCCTCCAGTGGCATATGCCCATGATGAGGTTGTGACTGCCCCAGCCGAGAGCAGAGAGGTTCCCTCAAGGTCCCAGGTCCCTCCATGTCCACAGCCATGTACTCGACCTGCCTGTGCACCGTGACCTGGGGACAAGACAACCATGTCACTGGGAGCTGGGAGGAAGCATCCCCAGACACGCATACAGACGGAAGCAGCACTGATAACCAGGGTGAAACGCTCTTACAGCCAAAACCCCTCAGCCTGGGACACCCTATGCTCCTACTCCCAATTTGGTATCGCTGGGGGCAGGATGTCCACAACTGCTCCAGCATCTGCTCCCTGATGTGGCACTGGGCTCCAGTCAGCACTGGTAGAGCTCTTGCAAGTGGCTGCAAACCTCCTGTAGCCCCTCAGCCACCTGGAAACAGACACCCCAGGCCAGAGGGACTGACCCCAGGGCTACATTGTACAACACAGCCTCAGCACAGAGACATTCACCTGCCAGCGCTGGATGGGCTCCTCCAGTGGCTCCTCCTTGACCTGTTGTGGTGTCACACATCTCAGGGATGCTCTGCCTGTCCCAGCCTGAACAGCACAAGAGGCTTTCCCTTCACTCTCAGTTTCCACCTCTGGCTCAGGGCCAGCTGGGTCCTGCTCCTCCTCCTTGACCAGAACCTGGGGCAGCGCTGGGAAGGGGAAGCCCATGGCTGGCGCCAGCTCAGCAGCCATCTTCTCTGCCTCACCCCAACTTGGACCTGCGATCTTGCTCTTCCACTCCTCCCACACAGGGTCTTTCAGCAGTGTCCTGGCTCCTGGATGCCCGAGGGACAGAAACAACAGGATTTGTCACGTGATGGGGGAGCCAGGATCACAACACACCACTGCAGATCCACAGCACCCCCTCACCCACACCATGGGCCACATGAGTGTCCTGCCCTGCCCTGACACAGGGAACAGGGTTGGGACAGATCCCGGAGCACCCCTCCAAGGCCCCACAGCCCTCGCACAATCCCAGGTGACAGTGCTCTTCACTCCAGACCCACAGGGCCCCTCACTCCCCACCTACAGCCCACAGCCTTCTCAAACCCTGCTGGTTCCCTTCATTCCTGACCCACAGCCACTGCACCCCCCAATCCTGCGGGTGCACCACACTCTCAGTCTGCTCTACAGCCCTCCAGATGCTCCTCCCACCAGGCCTGGGGGAGGAAGAACAGAAGGAACTGGCTGGACTTAGATGCAGCATCATTTGCTGCCTACAGCTCTGCCTGCTGCCCTGCCACCAAGCCTGGCTACAGCTCTCCAGAGGGGGAAAATTGCAGGAAGAGGCAGCTCCAGGGCAGGGACAGCAACAGCAACAGCAGCCAAGCCAGGGCAGAGCTTGGCTGGACCAGCACTGTTGTTCCTGGCCCAGGCGCTGCCAAGAAGCCTTTGAGCACCCTCATACCCTGGTTATCTTTGTGGCAGCCTCTGAGCTGCCCCAGACCCTGGTAATATTTGTGGTCTCCATTGGTCCAAAGTCCTGCACTTAACACAGAGCCATCCCACGCGCCAGTACAGGCGGGGGACCAACTGGCTAAGCAGCAGCTCTGCAGAAAAGGAGCTGGGGGTTAGGGCTGTGTGAAGCTTTGGGTGGCGATTCCATTCAGAGGAGATTAGGCCCAATTTGGTGGCCAAATCTCTGAATCCGAATCAAATCAGGGGACTGATTTAAAGGTCCAAATCGATTCAAAGCTCTCCGAATCTTCCGAAAAGATATGGAGAGTTTTGATAATTTGGGCAGTCCCCGGTGGTTGCAGCAGGGAGCTACGGCTGACTCAGAGCTGGCAAGTACTAGGGGCAGGGGAGGGGAGGGCTGGGGGAGGGAAGCTGCTGCTGGGTGGGGGGGGAAATCCCCGCTGCCCCACCTTGCATGAGGGGCTCTGCACAAACCCCCTGATCCCCCCCTGCTTCCCCCAAGTGCTGGGAGCTGGGGCAGGCATGGCAGCCATTGCTGGGCTGGGAGAGTGGGCGGGGGATGGGCCTGGCTAGGCTGATTGGGAGATTTGGCAGCAGCCAAATCTCCAAATCAGATTCAGCCGAATTGAATCGGGACAGTGATTCCCGAATCACTGTATCAAATCACTGTCCTCCGAATCAGCTGAATCCAAAACAAATACTAACAGCTTCGCACAGGACTACTGGGGGTGACAACAGACAAACAGCTGAATAGGAGCAACCAGCGCGCCCTTGTTGTGAAGAAGGCTAATGGCATCTTGGGCTGCCTCAGCAGGAGCGCTGCCAGCAGATCACGGAAGTGATTCTTCCCCTCCGTTTAGTGCTGGTGAGGCCACATCTGGAGTCCTGCATCCAGTTGTGGGCCCCCTGCTACAGAAAAGATGTGGACAAGTTGGAGAGAGTCCAGAGAAGGGCAATGAAAATGGCTCAGGCGCCGGGGGACAGAGCTTGTGAGGAGAGGCTGGGGGAACTGGGCTGACTTAGTTTAGATAAGGGAAGAAGCAGCCTTCAAGTATCTGAAGGTGGGGGGTTCGAATGAGGGTGGAGCTGGGCTGTTCTCAGCTTCATAGTTTGTAGGGTCAGAAGGGACCTGAGCATCTAGATCATCAAGTCCGACCCCCTGTCATGGCAAGAAACAGCGCTGGGGTCAAACGACCCCGGCAAGGTGTTCATCCAGCCTCCTCTTAAAGACCCCCAGGGTAGGAGCCAGCATCACTTCTCTTGGAAGTTGGTTCCAGATCCTAGCCGCCCTGACAGTGCAGTAGCGCCTCCTGACGTCTAGTCTGAATCTACCCTCTGCCAGGTTGTGAGCGTTATTTGTCACTCCTGGGAGCGCTCGGGGGAACAGGGACTCCCCCAGTGCCTGCTGGTCCCCTCTGACTAGTTTGTAAACGGCCACTAGATCCCCCTCAGCCTTCTTTTGTGGAGGCTGAACAGGTTCAGGTCCCGTAGCCTCTCCTCGTAGGGCCTGCCCTGCTGCCCCCAGATCATGCGGGTGGCCCTCCTCTGGACCCTCTCCATAATGGCCACATCCCTCCTAAGTGCGGCGCCCAGGACTGGACACAGGGCTCCAGCTGCGGCCTGACTAGTGTCTCATGGAGGGGGAGGATCACCTCCTTGGACCTGCTTGAGATGCATCTGTGGATACATGACAAGGTGCGGTTGGCCTTCCTGACCGCGTCCCCACACTGTCGGCCCATGTTCATTTTGGCATCAAGAATGACTCCAAGATCCTTTTCTGCCTCTGCACTGACAAGAACGGAGTTCCCTAAGGCTGTAGGTGTGCTGCTGGTTGTTCCTCCCCAGGTGCAGCACCTTGCACTTGTTAGTGTTGAAACCCATCCTGTTCTCAGCCGTCCACCCCTGTAGCCTGTCTAGGTCCGATTGCAGCCTATTCCTCCCTTCTAGCGTGCCCACTTCCCCCCACATCTTAGTGTCGTCTGCGAACTTGAATAGGGTGCTTTTTACCCCTTCGTCCAAGTCGCTGATGAAGATGTTGAACAGTGCAGGCCCGAGGACCGAGCCCTGCGGGACCCCACTGCCCACATCCCTCCAGGTCGAAAATGACCCGTCCACCACCACCCTCTGGGTGCGGCCCTCCAGCCAGTTAGTGACCCATCTGACTGTGTAGGTGTCGACACCACTGTCCCCTAGTTGAGAATGAGAACGGGGTGAGAGACAGTGTCGAAGGCCTTCCTGAAGTCCAGAAAGACTACGTCCACTGAGACCCCTGTGTCTAACGACTTAGTGGTGGCAGATGACTGAAAAAGGAGCAACGGGCTCAAGTTGCAGCAAGGCAAGTTTAGGTGAGATATTAGGAAAAACTTTCCGACTAGGATGGTAGTAAAACACTGGAGCAAGATACCCAGCGAGGTGGTGGAAGCTCCATGCTGGGAGGTTATAAGACCCGGCGGGACAAAGCCCTGGCTGGGGTGAGCTAGTTGGGGCTGGTCCTGCTTTGGGCAGGGGGTCGGACTAGATGCCACCTCCTGAGGGCCCTCCGACCCGCACGGTCCACGCTCTCTGCAGGGGAAGGGGCCGTGCAGCTGATCAGCGCCGATTCTGCTGTTCTCTGATGAAAAGAAAAGTCCCCAATTGTCAGGTTAAGTAACCCAGACCCACATTTTTCAGTGATTAAAATGAGACACCACTAATACACAGATAGACATACATACATACATAGATATCTACCTCTCTCTCTACACACACACACACATACCTATATCCATATCTATAGCGATGTTTCGTTTTAATCACAGAAAAAGCCATGAATTTTGATTTATTTTAACCTGAAAACCGGGGGTGTCTTTTTCGCGGCGGAAAGCCAGGACCCCGGCGCCGTGCATTGTCTGTGGGCTGATCTCG